CTTTAGCATACGGTTCGCAGTCGGTCGTCATGATTGAATTAAGTCCACGCTTCAGTCTCCTCAGGACGCAGTCCGATGACTTTTGTTTAATATCATCCTGGCTGTAACATCGTAGTTTACTATAGAAATGAAATGAGTTTTCTGCTGAAATAGCTTCTTAAGTGAAACGCCATGAGTGGCCCCAAATAGTTCTGCATTTCCTGCTAATCATCCCTGAACGTAGAACTAAAAGAAGACAGTGCAAGAAAATCTACCGATCCGTAGAAACCAGCCTTTCATGAATTTACTACTTTGAAAATGTTCTCTTTAGCTTATTTTATTCAGAAAAAATGAAGATTTTATGCCTTTTCCAATTCATATAAAAAATATTAGCCTTAATCGATCAATTTTTAATCATGCTTCAAGAAAATGCAGATGGTGTTAAACATTGATCACACAAGATAATAATTTACTAGGCGAAGTAAGAGACTGTGAGCCGATCTTTATAAAAGTTCAGTGTTTATGTGGTTTATGGCACTGATGTACTCTTGTATATTTTGCAATTTTTATTTCAAGTAAACAGTTATTCGCTATACTATTGTAGCTCTGTCACAGTCCGTAAACATAGAGAACAAATTCAGTATTTGCATATTAAGAAAAGAAAGAAAATTTAAACGGTCGTTAACTTTTGTTTTTCTATAGTGTTTGTCTTCATAATGAGCCGTGTGGGTGTAGGGGAAAAGAAGGTCTACACTCACATTCACACCCTCTCCAACAAAGGATACAAATGTTTGGGGAAATGTAGCATACAAAAATTTAGCTAAGATGCTATTTCACTGTTATCTAGCAAATTTCATCGAAGTATCTTGATAGAAGACGATATGACGTCATTAACCAACAATACATATTTAACTACCATAGTAGAAATCCGCGCTAACTTGTCTTGTAATATCAAGAATTTTTGATAAATAATTTACTAAACAAACCATAATTAATCGAAACACGTTCTGAATTTCAAATAAATCATTTATTTCTTCACACTATACCATCAATAGCTAGATGAAAACATATCTGATGTCTTCTACAGATGTCTCAACGATGTTATGTTTAAATGTATAAAACTACATGTCGAACTTTATATCATTGTCAAGAACCTTTTTTTCGTTGTACAAAATAATCATCTAAGTCTTCAGTTAAGTTTTTTACTCATTGAGAACAATAAATTCGATGAAGGATTTAATATTAATAGTTTATATAATAAAGGATTGAATTGCACGATCAACAAGAAGAACATTTTTTATTAGCGTATTTTGATTCGAATTTATGTTTGATCGATAAAGAATTATCACTAGTAAAAAAAACAAGAATAGACACTAATGATCCAATTGGAGACATATGTATTCGTCATTAACATTAAATTCCTTTGTTATGATGAATATATGAACAACATTTTTTTCCTTCATAAAAATACAATGTCCTTTGAATAGATAGAATATCTACTACTAGATTCATAGTGATCCTCTACATGTTCCCATCTATCGCTGTAGTTATGGCGATGCAGAAACATAGAATATATACGTTAACAGATATTAGATAATAATAAGATGATGACCTACAAGATAAAACGAAAGATACAGAATAGAATAACGAAAAATTATTTTCCTTCGACTAGACAACAAATTATCGTTACGCGAGTTGGACGGATGATAACAACTTGTATCTATTCAAATAAAATAAACAAATAATAGCTTCTTTTCTCTTCAATTATATAATCCATAAAAGGATTATCTTTCGTTGTATGTGGACCGTTGTATAAAACTTTTCATTAAATAAAATCTAAACAATAAAATATTGTTGTTTTTATAAATTTTCAGATTTATTATGGGTCGTAATTATAAATGGCAAACAACAACGGAAACATTAGCCATTGGAATTAAAGGCGATCGTCATTCATTATGTGGTGCTATTAAAAGATTTGAAGTTCATGGTAAACAATGGAATAGTTTACTTACTCTAAAAGAACAATGTGCTCGTCGTATTACTCTTATTAAAAATGAACAAATTAAATGGTTTATTACTGCTTATTTACCTCCAGATTTATTCAAATATGTAACAAAAGATATATTTAATTTACGTCGAAATGAATTTAGATTAAATTATGCCAAACCTTTATACATGTGTCAAGAATGTACAATGGATACTTGTGAAAGTTCATCAGATGATTGTCAATGTCCACAAATGGATGTTGCAATAGATGCTTTAAATAATTTTCTTTTCCAACAAAAGATGATAAAAACTAATAAATCAAAAAAATTTGAACTTATTTATAAAATACCAAATGATGAAATGGATCATAGTGATGAATTAAAAAGTCCAACATCATTTTTTCTTTATCTTTCACCAAGTCAATATCAAGCCGAGATTTCTATGGATGATATGAATGATGGACCATTTGATGAATATAACTTAATTAATTCTCATATATCTGCGAAAGACAAACTTTTATTTGTTGATGCTATGCGTTTTTTTGGAGGATTTCGAACTAACTATCAAGAACCTCAACTTATTTTTTATCGTCGTAGAGAATTTAAACTTTAGAAATATATTTTTTAATTTAGATTTTTTTTATATAAATGTTTTGAAATAATAAACTTATTCATTTTATTCGAGAGAAAAATATTCTATTTGATAATCATACAAAAAAATAGAAATTAAAATCTTTATATATTTATATGAAAGAATATTTTTATTAAACACTTTTTTTTAAAAACTGAATCATCATTTTTAGAGCTAGAAATTTGTTTTGGACATGCCTGTAATAAATAAATTTAATATTATGTGAATACTTCATTAATTGAATAACAAAAGAAATAGCTGGTTAATATTGCTGTAATAATCTGTAAGATGTTTTCTTATTTCTGTTTCAGATTCGTATACAGTTCAATAACAAATTATCATTACATACTTATACAAATAATAAACATTTGTATCTATAAGATTTCTATAAAACAGTAACGTTCTCTTTGCGTTTCGATTAAAATTATAACAATCATCTCTTTCTATACACTTATTACTTTGTACAATTGATCACATTATTATTTTAGTTGATGTATAGAGACATGCAGACAAAATTCTATAGATATGTATTTCGTTTTTTTTGTACATATATAATTTTACAAAAAAATCCTACTTATTGTGTATTCATGATAATGATAATATCACTAAACTTAGAAAGTCATTCATTAATGGTTAATAACTTATCAAGAATTATTCGATTTTCATCATAACGTATGTAATCCATATATGTGAATATCTATTGATATGTAAATCGGTAATAGTAATTATTCTATAATCATCAATGCTATTATAGGTGGCTTATAAAGTTAAATGTATTCAAAAATCAACAAATCACATTCCACAACGAAAACATCTAACACATATTTTCATCTACAGGGTTTCTCATAAATAGCACTAAGATTAAATATTTCAAATCTTTCCAATCCAGTGTAATAAAATGCGCTGACTTTTATTGTTGATCTACTAAAGAATTGTTTTTGTTATCAGCTAAGAAAAATGCATATGAAGCTTTTCGTAGATGTTTTTGATTTGTCACCTAAGACAATAGCAAGAAGAAGTCAAAAAAAATTGTATGAATGATGCAAATAAACTAAATTTTTAGTCGCTAATAGTTTAAAAATTAATAAGTTCAATATTTCTCATTTTCAAGCATAAAGCACTGTGTTTTTAAGGAAGTTAGTGATTTGGTATCCGAAATGTTCAATTGTGCCTTATAGTTTTCTAACATGAATTATAGCATTTAAACAAGTTAGTTCTGAAAATTTGGTCTACGTGTATCAAAAGTACTTTTTAAAGGACATCCTTTGTTAAAATAATTGATCATCAATGATTGGGTCTCATTTAGACAATGTTCGTCAAGCATAACTCTTCACATCCATGAACTGTTCACCAAGTATGAGTATGTAGCTAATTTACCATATCATTATTTCTTTTTTTTTTTTGAGTCTTTTTCATTGAAGACATTATTCAATTGCTCGATTCACCTGATGGGATAATTTTAGCTGTTATGAATAAAATAAAATCTTGAGTGTTATTACTTTGTTCTATTATTGATATTGGTAATCATCGTTTGGAAAAACTTGTACTTGATGGATGTCATTCAATCGATTTAACTTTTGATTATTGTAAATTACTTTTTAGACGGTTTTTTAGTTTCATATGTCATGCCTCGTATGAACAGTCCGATTCAATCACTGACATTCGATATTTCACAAATTTCCAGTCTTATCAATTTAGCTCATTCTCTACCTACAAAATAAAGAAAATTCTATGATTTTAAAAGAATTTGAAAATCTTTTCGTAGTACTCATATATATCTTTTTACTAGGTACCAATATTTATAGTATATTATGCCACAGACCTCACTTCTCAATTATACCTCAATTTATTCTTCTGCATAAGTTCGTTTATGCTTAAATCTTATCTACTTTTCTTTGTTCATCACTTATGAGTTCTATTGTATCGTTTGAACTTGATGATGATTATATTTTACGAGATGTATTTAATGATGACAGATTGTTTTCCTCTCAATCAATTCAACTGACTCCTATCCAAATCATGTGTATGTTTATGTCCGCAATTCTGATATTTTCTCTGAAATAACATCGGTAAATAATGTTTCTTAATTTCAAATTTTATTTAATTTATTCATTTTTAGATTTCATGTCCATATTTGAAACAATTGATAATGACAATCTATCACAATATTGTTGACTATGAAATATGTATTGTTCCTCTTGTACAACGTTGCTCAAATGTCGAACATTGAACATTATTATTAGCTATTAGCGTAACAGAACGTGAATCTAATTATTGTGTTAATTGATTTCATTTAGAAAAAGACATTGTTTCATAGACGTTTCATTTACGTTTATTTAATTTTTACATTCGTCAAAGTTTTATGAAACAGCAACAACGATTCGTTGATTGTATACTCGACCATTTTAATAATAATTATAGTCAATGTCAAATCTATACTCACTTCCATTTATTGATACTCGCCTTGACTTTATTTCAAATCGATTTCCACTCTTCGATACCAATAATACGTTCTCAATGGTTACAATGTTATGGAGTGTGGATGGATGTGCGTGTTTTTTTTTCTTTTTACCCACACCCACACATAATCGAACTTACCCATTTATAGGGACATATTATTAACAATAATCGCTCAAAATCAACAACAAACACGAGATTATTCTTCGAGACTAGAAACACTACGAACTATTGTAAAGACCTATATTAATTTAAATATAACGACGAGAAAAACTAGTTTTTCTTGTGTTAGATAAGTAGCGAAAGAAAATATCAATGTTATTATTTATTTTATTGTTGATATAAGAATACTTTTAGTAACGTAAGACAAGACTCAATTGCTTACTATTAGTGATTGAACTTCAGGAGGGAAGGGATGAACCTATGATATTCTGTCGACATAATCATAAAATGTTTATCTGTCTCTACTGTATGCACTGTAGAAAATTTTATTTTATGGTTCACAATGATTTATATTTTATCAGAATAAATTAAAGATTTGGATATTTTAGCTTTGTGAGGTATTAGATGTGAGAAGATTAGATATAATTTATTTGAATCATAAGACTTAAAAAATAGAACAAATCTTTGAATTTATATGTTGTCAAGCCTATGAACAAAAACAGAATTTTAGTTATAAAAAACAATGCTTGAGATATAGCGCATTAACTTACATGTGTGATGTAAAAATTTCGCTGAATCACTCATATAAATTATATTTGAAGTCAGAAACAAATCTGACCTAATTGTCTTTAACAATTTCATTTGGATATGATGGATGAATTTTATGATACCATATTTTGTTGCTTTCTTAATTATAATAAAAGTCTTTTCTTATTTCAACCATTAAAGAATTGCAAAAAAAAACTACGTAGTTCTACAGAATTTCAATGTCTTCAAAGATGATATTCTAAGACTCGATGATTCTCGTATAATAGTATTTCTAATTCAACATAATGATAAATGTGATACTTGCAGGATTGCTTCCATTACTTGACGACAGTAGCTATGAATATCTCTTAAGTGTGAACTGTGAATATGTTAATAAGGAGAAGACCCAAACTCACACACTCAATCATTATTTTAGTCATTCACCATTAAAATATTGATGAGAGAAATCAAAATATTCATTAAAAATCATTCAACAGTATCAAAATTATTATAAATATCATTGAAATGCAAAACTTATGTAAACAATTGCCGAAATTCTTGTTTGATACGAAAAATGACTGATTATATTAGTAATGAACATTTTATAACAGTTATTCTTATCAATAGAAGTTAATATTCTACATCAAAAGCTTCTTCGATAATCACGTTGTACGCGTTTAAATCTCAGAATTGAAAAGCTAAAATCCCCATGTCATTTGAAACTGGAAATATTTATAAGACGTCATTAATTGTTAATAAATTATTTAAATAATTCAGAAGTTAATGTTAAAAATAAAGTCTCCTAAATTACTTTAGATCAAGTGGTCATCGGAACTATTGGAAAAGCACGTGATCATTTTCTTTGTGCGTGTAGAATCCAGTGTCTGATGCGATGTTGTCGAGTCAATTTCCCTTCGAAGAGGGCAGCAATATTGCTCTTATATCCAGTAGCTTCATATTTCTAATATCTGTATAGAGATATATAGTGTCCAGTTAATCATATGACAAAGAAAAATTTGAATGTCTCCATCACATTGCACAGTCATATGAATTGAGTTTTCTCATAAGGATAAAGAAGTATTCACAGTTCATATTTATAAGAGAAACATTCTCAAAGATTATTTTTAAGTAGTACAAATGACTTCAATAAAACATTTATAACATTTCACGACTTGTGGCAAATTAATATTGCGGCTCTGCCAAGAGATTCTTGCTGTTTATGAGTGAAACTTTCAGGTTACACTAAGTAATGAGGAGTGTGGCTGTAGTATAAATATGACCCCGAGTGACACTAATTTGAATAATTGATTGAAAAAACTAGACGTTGTTTTTTTCTTGACTAAGAAAATATATTGTTTTTTCATAATTTATGCAAGGTTACAATTGTTAGTTAAAGTCAATTGTAAATAGATCAAAATGATTTTTAATAACATTTCTCTGATGAAGGTATGGGTGTGAGTGTGAGTCTTCTTCTTCACAAACAACCACACCCATACTATTCTTTTTCTATCGGATCAATCTAGTCATTTCAGATCTGCATTTTCTACCGAATAGACAAATGTTCATATTTATTGACAAATATAAATATAAATTAATTTTCGGACACATAAGAATATTTACAATATATACAAATATTAAACATTATTTTTAATAACAGTTTTTAGACCATCGTAAGCTTTTGTTCAGTTAAGTCAATTGACGAATAGTGAGTAAATTTGTATTTGATCAATATCTTGGCAGTTAAATGATATATTTTTGTCGTCATTAAATGATATTGTTTCTGTAATTTAGAAAAATAAAAACAAGAGAAATGTTAGTATTGATACGAATCATCC